AACGAGAATTCTTAAGAGTCTTCCTTTAAAAGCAATTTATTTTGGCCTTCAAAATGTAAGCTTCATTTCAATTTCCTTTCGACTTCTTTATGGTAATTGACTTGACTTAAGAGAAATTTATTTTTTGACCAAGTTTTGCATTTATATAAGGGCTAGCATCATATTTTTTTACGATTCCGATTTTGGTCAAAATCACTCATATTTTTTCGGTTTATCAGCAATAGTTTTGCAAACATCGAGGCGTAAAGTTAAAGGAACGACTGTTTTGAGCAGCTTGCTACAAATGCTATCGATCCCTATCACATTAAGGAACATTTATTTTTTGACCCATTTTCGCATTTTTTTAAGGGGGTACATCAGTTATTTTTGGGATTCAGATTTTGGTCAAAAATGCTCATTTTTTAGTGGTTTTTTAGTCGTAGTTTAGCCAAATCAAGGCGTACAGCTAAAAGACCGACTGTTTTGAGCAGCTTGCTATCTTTGCAAACGATCCCCATCACTTTAAGGAACATTAATTTTTTGACCCATTTTCGCATTTTTTGTAAGGGGGTACATCAGTTATTTTTGCGATTCAGATTTTGGTCAAAAATACTAATTTTTTAGTGGTTTTTCAGTCGTAGCTTAGCCAAATCAAGGCGTACAGTTTAAAGAACGATTGTTTTGGGCAGCTTGCTTCCTATGCTAACTATCCCAAACACTTTAAGGCAAATTTAACCAAATGACCAAATCCGACTGTTTCCCCAAGGTAGATCCGCTTGCATAATCCCCGTGAAGAAAATGAAAGTGCTAATTCCCCTGAAAGTGCAATATTTGCCCAAGAAATACGTTATTTTCTTAGGTTCTAGGTAAACGCAAACCTTCTGCGGAACCCCAAAACCGCAAAGATTGAAAAACTGACTTTGACACAAATATTTGTGACACTAGTTCACCTGTCCCGGGGCCCTCGAAACCCATTGAGTAATTTCACACATTGCTGGTTTTAGTACAGAACAATCGCCGACTATTGTCGAGTAATTCGACTTGGTCGGGTATAAAGTCGATGGTATGGTCACCAGAGTTCATCAGTCGACGAGTTGGCAAAGTCAAGAGTGGATTTTGGATTAGCTGGGACACCGAATCGAAAACACACATTACATCATCATGAAATTCTACGTGGGATTGGCGGCGATAGTGGTCGTGATGGTTTCTATGGTTCAGCCAGGAGAGGCCACCTTTGGCAAGCTTAATCTGCTCCTAGGCGGAGCATCCACCGCTGGCTATGGATCTGGATATGGTTATGGATCTGGTTATGGTTCTGGCTATGGCTCTGGCTACGGATATGGATCGGGCTATGGATCAGGATATGGTGCCGGCTATGGATACGCTCCCGAGAACGTGGTGAAGGTGATCAAGGTGTCGGTGGTGCCAGGCGGAGGAGTCGGAGGAGGATATGGTGGTGGCTATGCTGGAGGCTATGGCGGTGGTTACACTGGAGGCTATGGAGGCGGCTACTCTGGCGGCTTTGTGGGCGCTGCTCCGGCCATATCCACCTCCGCCGTCGTTACTCCGGTGGTCACTGCGGTGTCCACGCCGATAGCTACTCCTGTTGTGACCGGTGGTGCCGGCTATGTGAGTGGTTTCGGTGGTGGCCTCACCGGAGGCTTAGGTGGTGGCTATGGGGGTAGCTATGGGGGCTTGGGCGGATTGGGTGGCTATGGGGGCTCCCTCGGCGGTGGTGCCTCCCTTCCCGCCTCCTACGGATTTGGAGCCGGCTATGGAGCTGGCGGTGGCTTTGGACTAGGATTTGGAGCACCACCACCACCACTGGGTCTGGCCGGAGGACTCTGCTAGAAGACAACGAAACGGAAACCACAACATCAAGTGGAGTTTTTTTTTTTGATAATTTTAAACAACGATTTGTAATTTAAAGCTAACGATCTGTAATAAAGTGTATAAAGAACGATAAAATGAGCCTATATTTTGTTTACGGGGTTTATTTTATAAGGGGCAGTGGCTTATTCAAAAAGAATACTAATATTTAATGGGTATAAATGTTTACCCGTACGAGGTTGTCTTCGGCTTTTATAAAATGATTTTTTTATTATAACTGATTCTTATAAAATTTTGTAGCTATCATAAATAAGGAATATTAGCTTATATAGTAGATCGATTTTTTTCATGGTTTTACTCTTATACCTTTATGTATGTATATATTTATATTTTTTCAATGTGACGACTCACAATACTTATTTACAAAGAACAATTCTTAAACAATTTCGTTGAATAGTTAAAATACTATTTCTAAAAATAGAATTGTAAAAAGTTGTAAGCAAAGGGAATAGTATTAACAACCGATAGAATAGATAGAATGACTTGATATGCCCAAAAGTCTGCTAAATAAAAGACACCTGACAAAGCTTGAAGAATTTTACCTCTACTTCCTTATTCCTTATTTTAGCTTTTTGCCATTGAAGGCTTCACAATTACAGACTGAAATTTCGCACCCAATTGAAGAAGTCAGCTCCCCCAAAAAAGGCCTAGCCAACCCAAGTGACCTTCGTTTGGGCCCCTGAATGAAATCGAGAGTTGGGTACTGTTTACGCACCCATTTAGCCGGCTTTAACCCTTTCCACACCCTCTTAACCCCCCTAATCCCCAAACAGCAGATCGTGAGCCCAACGAAACTGTTAATGATAATCAAGTGCCAAAAACCAAAAGCAAAACCAAAGTCAAAGTCACAAGAGCCAAGCCCAAAAAAGTAATGTTCGGCCGAGAATGCTGTACGCCCCATGGGTGCAAATTGGTTGAGCTGGACCAGCTCCATCTTCACGTCCATCTCCAGGTACAAATGTCGCAGCCTCTCCAACCACTTGAACCACTCGAACCACTGAAACCACAAAAGACCAAAGAAATACACCACAAACAACAAATGCCGGGAGAAAAAACTACACAATCTGTAAATGGAAATGTGCAAATTGGCTATGATTTAATGTTTACCATGCTCAGACTATAAAAGAAAAAATAAAAAAAGAAATATAATAAAAATGCAAAAGTAGAAAATACCGAAGCAATACGCCTCATGAAATATGTTTAATCAATAAATTAAGTTTAAATGATTTGATTTTATTAAATAATTTTGAAAAACTTATTCACCAAGATTAGTTTTTTTTTAATTTCCTAGCTTTAAATTGTTTTAATTAACACAAATTTAGTTGTTATAAAAAAATTGTTATAAAAGTATTTTATTTAATACCTAATATCTAGAAACTTTTAATGTATTTTTTAGATAACAGATAGATTCGAAATGCTCTGTTTATAACAAATTTTGACCGGCTAGCTTTTTTTGCGCGAAAATACAAAAAGAACTCACATAAGAATTAATTATGCTGCAAATTTGAATGCCTAAAATTCCACGCATCTTTCCTTAAACTGAGTTTTACGATACTCTCGTGCTCATCTAAAAACCAGTTGTAAAATTATGGGGACATAAAATTTCGCCAGATGGAACACCTTTTTTTGGTTCTTTATTTTTTGGGCTGACCCAATTTGCATAACAGTCTAGATCAATAGAAAAAAAAGGAAAAACAAAGAGCTCAAAAGCGACATTTACATATATGTAATATTTGATCTCAGATGGCAGGGAATACGTCAGAAAACGTAGACGTGGCCGACAGGTTTTCGGATCAAAATCCGAGATGAGCGAAGATTTCTGGGCGTGCTTGGATTACGAGTATTTGGGTTGTCGGATTTTTGGCTATTTGGATATTGGCGAGGCTTTAACCCGCTGAGCCCCTTGACTACGTGGAGTCATGCATAGGATTTCGGGGGCTGAATGAGTGACAATGCCAATACATTGGCCACGCACATGTGCCAGCGTGCACTGCGAGAAATTGCTGGAAATAGTTTTGGTTTTTCATATTTTATTTTCCTTTTTAAAAAAAAATATTTTTTTTTTAATTTTCATTTTGTTTTTTAACCTTTAAAATCCTGCAAAATGTCTTGGTGATATTTTATTTTTGGTTATATTTTGAGAGGATGCAGTATATATTTTTAGTAATATAGATTTCACATCTGTATATTAAATATACTATACTTACATCTATATTTTATTACATCAAAATTATTTAATACCAACTCCAAGAACATGTTTTTTAGTTTATTCCATTATCAACTCTTCAACGAATGTAAAAATATCTTTATAACTTCTAACTACAGCTTTATCATAAATTAGGTTTATATCTTTTTTAAATGCCTAAAAATACCCTCAATCAAATTGGAACAATAAATTAATGAGACAATAAATATGCAACGCACATAGGATTGTCTGGCTGAATTTCCCCATCGTTTGTTGACATTCTTTAAAAGGCGTGTCACAGATGAATCATATATTTTAGAACTGCTAGTTTATATATATTATTTTACTTGAAATATTACATAAAATAAAATTAAATAAAATATAAATACATTTTATTTTAACTAAATCGTCATGTATACATAGAAATACCAAAGGCTTAAAGTCTTATTATCGCTTTTAAGAGTTAAGATCGTATTTTTAAAGGGCTTCAAACTCCCTCCCTCTTAAACTGCTCATAACATTTCCCTCAGAGCTAATTTGTGTGCTGGGGAATTACCTGAGCTTCTTGCGAATCCGTAACGCTTTTGGGCCGTGGTTTTATTTAACTATTTTTTGCTGTGCCGGGAGATGCGAGAAAATATCTCACTTGATGGTTAAGTAGTTGAGGTGACAGACAGACAATCCGATGGATATACAGCCGGTGGCTCTCAGCCCCGCCCAAATTTGGAACATATCGTCTTCGACTTGTCGCGTCTCTTTGGCCCATAAGTAACCATTTATGAATTAAGCAAACAGCTAATATTGAGGGGATCTCATCTCGTTGGGCGGACCGTAGCATAGATTAGAACTACACAAACACACAAAACTCAGGTACGAAACAGCAGTTCGCTGTTGGCTGGCTATAAATTAGTGCCCCGTCTCGATTTGGGACATCAGTTGAGTTTCGTTCAGGTTGCGGGCAGCATCAGTAGCATCAGTAGCACCACTAACATATCCAGAATCACCATGAAGCTGTACGTTTGCGTTTCGCTGGCCCTTTTGGCCATTGCAGCCCCAGTTCCCTCGGACGCCCTGTTGGGCGCCAAGTTGGCCCTGCTGAAGGCCATTGGTGGTGGTCTGGGTGGCGGCAGCTCCACCGGCAGTGGTGGTGGCTACGGAGGCAGCGGCTATGGCAGCGGTGGATACTCTGGAGGCTACAATCAGGGATACTACAGCCAGCCCAGCCGCCCGGTCTACAGTTCCGGATACGGCAGCTCCTCCTCATCGTCCTCCGCCGCGAGCAGCGGATATGGCGGTGGTTACAGCGGTGGCTATGGAGGTGGTTATGGAGGTGGTTATGGCGGTGGCGAGCAGGTCATCAAGGTCATCAAGGTGGTGGAGCAGCCCTCTTACGATTATGGACGTTCGGCCGGCTATGGTGGCAACTATGGAGGATACTCGTCTAGCGCATCTTCAAGTGCTTCTTCCAGTGCCAGTTCCAGCTCCTACTCCGCTCCTGCTCCCGCTGTGACTTACTCCGCTCCTGCTCCAGCTGTGACTTACTCCGCTCCTGCTCCCGCTGTGACTTACTCCGCTCCTGCTCCCGCAGTGACCTACTCCGCTCCTGCTCCTGTGGTGCGTGTTCAGGCTGCTCCTGCAGTGACCTACTCCGCCCCAGCTCCCGCTGTGACCTACTCCGCTCCTGCTCCTTCGGTGACCTACTCCGCTCCTGCTCCCGCAGTGACCTACTCCGCTCCTGCTCCCGTGGTGCGCGTCCAGGCTGCTCCTGCAGTGAGCTACTCAGCCCCAGCTCCCGCTGTGACCTACTCCGCCCCAGCTCCCGCTGTGACCTACTCCGCTCCAGCTCCGGCTCCAGTGGTGCGTTACGCGGCCCCAGCACCGGCGCCCATCAGCTATGCACCCGCTCCTGTTTCCTACGCCCCTCAGCCACAGAGCCAGCAGGTGGTGAAGACCATCAAGCTGATTGTGGATGAGGATCGTGCTCCAGCCCAGGTGTACGGCCCACCCGCCGTGGACTCCAGCTACTCCAGCGCCTCCTCCTCCGCTTCCGCTTCCGCCGGAGGCTACAGTGGTGGCTACAACGGTGGCTACAATGGTGGTTACAATGGTGGTTACAACGGTGGCTACAATGGTGGCTATAACGGTGGCTACAATGGTGGTTCCTCTGGCGGTTTCGGTGGCGGCTGGAAGAGTGGCGGCATCCTCGAGAAGCTGGTCGGCTGCTAGGCCCTGGAAACTTGAAGCCAATGGCTTTCAGGGTTTCAAAAATCCAAATCCTAACCTAACCGTACTCAACTATTTTTTTTCTAGTTCTAAAACGAATAATTGTATTTTTTTGTTCGATCGATGTGTACATAAAATAAATCAATATACCCGATATATCATGTCTTTATAATCTTATGTAATCGACAGAATTTCAGACGACTTTGTCTGTCTTCTGATATACATATACATATTTTTTGGGGTTTTTTCATGGCTCCCGAACGCCAGGGTTCATTGTGTTATTGATTCTAAACGAAATTAGCACCCAGTTGCTAACTCCCAACGAATCGGTGGCGATTCATATTCATATTCCGATTCCGGATCTCAAGAGATCGAGAAGAGGGCCCTGAGAACGAGGTTAAGATCGGGGGACAGAGAGATAGCCAGAGATTCGGGCTTATAGGGTTGGCTAATTTGCATTTTAATGTTAAAACCGCTTAGGTTTTTTTCCTGGTAAATTAATATGGTATCAAAATATTAAATTACCATGAAAAAGATTAAAATAAATTAAGGGTTTTAGTATCAAGAATATATATAACTGTTCAAGCAACCATTTAATAAAAACCTATAGTTTTTTAAGATCGCTGATGATTTTTATAGAATCTTTTAGGCCTTCGTTTAAATTGGGATATATATTTTTAAATAAAATCGAAGTTCTAATTTGAAAGTTGTTCATTAGCAAATGGTGTGATTATTATGATTAAAAATATTCATCTTATATGTAATTTAGTATTATCCTTTTTTTATAGCTTCGTCAAAACAGAATAACTATTACCACTACCTTTTGAAAATATATATTCATTGGTAAATTTTTGCATTTTCAAAAAGATTGAATTTAACCGAAAAATTATAAAAAATAAAGAGTTGTATTTATGAATTACAATCGGTTGGCAGTTTTTTTACAAGCTGAATAAAGTTATATTATAATGATGATATATACTTCCAAGTTTTTTAATTGAATTAGTGGCGTTGTATTAATGGCATTATTGAAGTGGCGATTTGAAGTATAGATTTGATGATCTTTATCTGCTGGGTGTCATGCGAAGAGTGTCACCAATGGGCGTTCAGCCAAGACCAAGAACATCCGTTCGCCGGCGACTATAAAAGCTGGGAGCCCCCGAAAAATTGGCCAAACAAAATGCAAGTGCCTAATGCTCAATTGTTTATTTTGGCAGTGGTTGTGGTGGCTTTAGTACGTGGTCATGCGGTGGAGCAGGAGCACTTGACCAGCCACGGTGCGTATGAGTAACGTTATTTGTCTTTAGTCATAGATTAATCATTATATATTTGTTTTCAGCCTATGGACCAGCCATACACATTAGTTCGGGGCTTCTCCAGTTGGCCCCCGATTCGGAGCAACCTCAACTGCTGCTGGTGCCCAATGTCTACTCCTCGTCACTGGGAAATCCCTGGCCGCATTTCTATGTGGACACCTTGACGGCTTCGCACCTGCCACACTCATCGATTCCATCGATTCCAACTATCCCATTGACCCCTTCGATCCACGAACCGCGCATCGTGGTCAATGACAATGTGGACTTTTCGCAGATCAAATTGCCCCAGCATAAAGTAGTCCATTCCCATGGACGCTAAATGGGTTCATCGAGAAACTATTTACAAACCTTCATAAATTATATGGTTCATTTGTGTAGTGCTTAAGGTTTTTTTTTAACTTTTTTGTTTTCTGGTATTTTATTTCTTACACAGACACTTAATAAACTTGCTATAAAAATATTTTGTGAAATGTTTTTGGGCTTAATTGCAATATTAATGTGTGCCTAATCATATAGGAATGAAACTTTGCCAGGGGTCTACGCAAAAAATCATGAAAAATCTGCATAGGCAAATGCCAAACTCAAAAATATTAATTTTTTTGATAAAAAATAGGGATTATATTTTGAATTTTAAAATAAAACACATAATGATTACGGACTTTGGCTCAAAATGTTCTATTATGATGAGTAGTAATTATTAAACATTTATTTTTATATTATTTTATTTTTTGTTTATTTTATTAACCATATCCATTTGGAGATATGCATTTTCATATTTAGCCCGAGCCTCCGCCTCCTTAATGAGCTCCTGATGCTTTTGGGATCGTTGCTCCTGCATACGGATGCGGTACTCATCATGGCAGTCGTTGGATCCTTTCGGTCAGGTACTCCAGATCCTGATGGTGTGGTTCGCTAGGCTGGCGAATGGGCGAAGGCCCCGATGAGGGTATCGAGTGCATCCACAGGATACACCCAAATCCCTAATCGAGGCCTTCGCCAAAGAGCAGAGAAGGATCTGGATGACCGCTACCAATGCCTACCAACAGTCCAAAAGAATCTACCTGTGCCAGGGATCTCAGATCCTGAAAGAGGGGCTCAATAACCTGGCAGCTACCGAGTTGCAGGCCAAGAACGGGCAGGGTTTATTCGATGGCCTCAATAAGTCCCTTTCCAATTGGGAGATCACAGGGTGAAAAACCGACAGCCCCATGGTTTCCCCATTGGAAAAACGCCTCGTTGAGGACACGGAAGAAACTCTGCGCCTTTTTGGCCAACATCTGGGTGGCTGCAGGGTGTTGAGCCCCTACTATCAGGAATCTGGTGTCCTTGATCCAGGTAGAACCTCGTGGCCTCCTGGTAGGCACTGGTAGTGGACATCGAGGTCCCTTTCTGCTCATATGCGAGGACTAGACTCGAGAGGCTATTGAAATCCTGGCGACCAGATGGTTTTCCCACCACCTTGGGCAACATTTTGATTGCCTTGTCGGTTTCTTCTGGGGATCTTTCCAGACTCATTTGGCTATCTTGGGTATATCCATCTCCTCGTCCTTCAAGTGGATTTGGGCCAATTCCATTTGGGACAGGTCATACATAGTCTTCAGGCTTAAAACTTCAGGTAAAATAGTAAAAGGTAGCAAGAAATCATAAAACCATATGGCGCATTATGGAGTTTTATACCCACCCATCTGGATACTCTTGAAATGGCCCAGGGATCCTATTTAATCCTGACGATTAAAGACTTAAGACCCATGTCCATTTCTTTTGAGTTTTCCAAATTCTTTCGGGGTCTTGTTGGTGAAATGGGCTGCAAGCAGGATATTAGCCAGATACTTTTTATATAACCTGTACATGCCTCCAGGTGACTTGCAAAAAATCTCGACTAATATTTGTTGTAGCAAGTCAACTAAGGAATTTACATATATAATATATGTATATTCTTATTTAATGTGTGCCTGTGTAACTCCAAAACTCACCATTTGTTTAATGCAAGTGTCCAGTAATATTTCCTCCAATTTTGGACAAATGTGCTTCGTCATGAGAACAACTTCTTATTTTTTACGTACACCAACCACTGACAATTTTCAAGGAACACTGAATTTTCTTTGACAAGTAAAACCAGAGTTGACTGATGCTATCAAAGTTCAGAGAACCATTTATAGGGTTGCTGAGATAAAAAAACTATCGTTTTAATTGTAGACTCGAAATCGACTCTACGTGTAACTAACGGAAATAATTAATCTTGGCCCGAAAAAATTATTAAGTTACATATAGCTTTGTTGGTTTTTATCATATTTTTTTACTCTGGGGTATCCCATTTTTTTAAAGATTTTAGAATTTTGAACTACATTTTTTTTAAATCGGACGAGGGCAAGGGTTTCTAAGCTTGCTTTCTGGTTTAAAGTTTAAATATATATAATATTGTAAATATAATCTTAATTTTTTTTAAACCCCCAAACACGTTTTAAAATTCATTTTAACTTAGTTTTATTTCAATAATTTTTAACAAAAAAAAAAACAGTTTTAGAATAAGATATTCTTTGAGCATTTTGCTAGGTCTTGGGTGCCTAATGCTCAATTGTTTATTTTGGCAGTGGTTGTGGTGACTTTAGTAAGTGGTCATGCGGTGGAGCAGGAGCATTTGACCAGCCACGGTGCGTATGAGTATCGTTATTTGACTTTAGTCATATACTGTGTTTATGCGATGCCGAATTCACGCTTTCATTTCGCGATTTCAGCCGATTCGTGTGTGCATAAACGCCAGTTGACTATGAATTCAACCTGAAAGCGTGAAATGGTCACAATTAAACTCCGGTAACTCTTACTGTTACTATGTTTATGCTAAGGGATTCATGATTTCTTAAAAGCGTGAAATAAAATTTGTTCCTGTTTATGCGACACGACCGAATTCATGAATTTTATCAATCTCAGCTGACAGAGATGCCGGACCGGTGGAAAAAGGCGTTAGCGATTCGCATGAACTAATCTTTCTAATATTAAAGATAAAGTGTGTACAAGCCAGTATAACATTTTTCCACCGTCAAAATAAAAGATGAAAATTAGTTTTTATTGGGACTGAATGAAAAAATAATTTGTTAAATGTAAGTTGTATTTATATATTTATATCGATCTGGCAACTCCGATAATTGTATAGAGTTACCGGAGTTTAATTGTCACCATTTCACGCTTTGAGGTTGAATTCATAGTCAACTTTCGTGTGTTGCCGAATTCGCGAAATGGCGTTTATGCACACACGAATCGGCTGAAATCGCGAAATGAAAGCTTGCCAGATCGATATAAATACATAAATACACCTTACATTTAACAAATTTTTTGTTCATTCAGTGCCAATGGAAACTAGTTTTCATCTTTTATTTAAACGGTAAAAGAATGTTATACTGGCTTGCACACACTTTATCTTTAATACAAGCAAGATTATTTCATGCGAATCGAAAAAAATAATCGGTTTTATAATCGCTAGCACCTTTTTCCACCGGTCCGGCATCTCTGTCAGCTGAGATTGATAAAAAGCATGAATTCGGCTGTGTCGCATAAACAGGAGCAAATTTTATTTCACGCTTTTAAGAAATCATGAAATCCTTAGCATAAACATAGTAATAGATTAATAATTATATATTTATTTTCAGCCTATGGACCAGCCATACACATTAGTTCGGGGCTTCTCCAGTTGGCCCCCGATTCGGAGCAACCTCAACTGCTGCTGGTGCCCAATGTCTACTCCTCGTCACTGGGAAATCCCTGGCCGCATTTCTATGTGGACACCTTGACGGCTTCGCACCTGCCACACTCATCGATTCCATCGATTCCAACTATCCCATTGACCCCTTCGATCCACGAACCGCGCATCGTGGTCAATGACAATGTGGACTTTTCGCAGATCAAATTGCCCCAGCATAAAGTAGTCCATTCCCATGGACGCTAAATGGGTTCATCGAGAAACTATTTACAAACCTTCATAAATTATATGGTTCATTTGTGTAGTGCTTAAGGTTTTTTTTTAACTTTTTTGTTTTCTGGTATTTTATTTCTTACACAGACACTTAATAAACTTGCTATAAAAATATTTTGTGAAATGTTTTTGGGCTTAATTGCAATATTAATGTGTGCCTAATCATATAGGAATGAAACTTTGCCAGGGGTCTACGCAAAAAATCATGAAAAATCTGCATAGGCAAATGCCAAACTCAAAAATATTAATTTTTTTGATAAAAAATAGGGATTATATTTTGAATTTTAAAATAAAACACATAATGATTACGGACTTTGGCTCAAAATGTTCTATTATGATGAGTAGTAATTATTAAACATTTATTTTTATATTATTTTATTTTTTGTTTATTTTATTAACCATATCCATTTGGAGATATGCATTTTCATATTTAGCCCGAGCCTCCGCCTCCTTAATGAGCTCCTGATGCTTTTGGGATCGTTGCTCCTGCATACGGATGCGGTACTCATCATGGCAGTCGTTGGATCCTTTCGGTCAGGTACTCCAGATCCTGATGGTGTGGTTCGCTAGGCTGGCGAATGGGCGAAGGCCCCGATGAGGGTATCGAGTGCATCCACAGGATACACCCAAATCCCTAATCGAGGCCTTCGCCAAAGAGCAGAGAAGGATCTGGATGACCGCTACCAATGCCTACCAACAGTCCAAAAGAATCTACCTGTGCCAGGGATCTCAGATCCTGAAAGAGGGGCTCAATAACCTGGCAGCTACCGAGTTGCAGGCCAAGAACGGGCAGGGTTTATTCGATGGCCTCAATAAGTCCCTTTCCAATTGGGAGATCACAGGGTGAAAAACCGACAGCCCCATGGTTTCCCCATTGGAAAAACGCCTCGTTGAGGACACGGAAGAAACTCTGCGCCTTTTTGGCCAACATCTGGGTGGCTGCAGGGTGTTGAGCCCCTACTATCAGGAATCTGGTGTCCTTGATCCAGGTAGAACCTCGTGGCCTCCTGGTAGGCACTGGTAGTGGACATCGAGGTCCCTTTCTGCTCATATGCGAGGACTAGACTCGAGAGGCTATTGAAATCCTGGCGACCAGATGGTTTTCCCACCACCTTGGGCAACATTTTGATTGCCTTGTCGGTTTCTTCTGGGGATCTTTCCAGACTCATTTGGCTATCTTGGGTATATCCATCTCCTCGTCCTTCAAGTGGATTTGGGCCAATTCCATTTGGGACAGGTCATACATAGTCTTCAGGCTTAAAACTTCAGGTAAAATAGTAAAAGGTAGCAAGAAATCATAAAACCATATGGCGCATTATGGAGTTTTATACCCACCCATCTGGATACTCTTGAAATGGCCCAGGGATCCTATTTAATCCTGACGATTAAAGACTTAAGACCCATGTCCATTTCTTTTGAGTTTTCCAAATTCTTTCGGGGTCTTGTTGGTGAAATGGGCTGCAAGCAGGATATTAGCCAGATACTTTTTATATAACCTGTACATGCCTCCAGGTGACTTGCAAAAAATCTCGACTAATATTTGTTGTAGCAAGTCAACTAAGGAATTTACATATATAATATATGTATATTCTTATTTAATGTGTGCCTGTGTA